CGTCAGTCAGAATAGTATTCTGACGGTAACTTAAACAAACAAAAAATTCAAACAAAATAATAATATTGATGTGGTTGACAACAATATTACTATAACAACAGTAATATTACCGTCAACCACAGTAATATTATTGTGTTTACAGTAATATTACAATAATAGACAGTAATATTATTACGTTACTCCGAGAATAACTCAAACAAACCAAAAACCCCAAAAAAATAATAATATTGATGTTGTTGACAGTAATATTATTGTGTTTACAGTTATTTTACTGTCAACGACAGTAATATAATTACGTTGACTTATCAACAAATCAAACAAAATAAAAAAAATAATAAAAAATAAAAAATAATAATATTGCATTAATTTACTGTCAACGGCAACACAATTACATAAATGTAATGTCAACGGCAGTACAATTACGTTAATTCACTATCATTGACAGTATAATCACGTTAATTTACTGTCAATGACAACACAATTACGGTCAACGTTTAGCGGCGGACGTGGAAAAACAAAACAAACCAAAAAGGAAAAACTTAAAAAAACACTAAAAAAAGTCAACGCCGGAGATTGCAGGAAACCGGCGAAAAAATCCGGAAGAAAAGAAAAAAAAAAAGAAAAAAGCAAAAAAAAAAAAAAAAGTCAACGCTGACGACGGAATCCGGCGGCAAAAAAAAAAATTTTTGAAATTTTTTTTTTTGAAAAAAAAAAAATTTGGGTCAAAATTGAATAATTTGTGAAATTCGGGGTCAAATTGAGATTAAATTAAGTTAATGATAAAATTTGAGCATATTAAATTATGGTCAAAAAAAAGTCAAAATTGAATTTTTGTGGTCAAAATTGATAAATTGGGGTTACAATTAAGAATTGGGTATAAATAGTTGAGGGTAATATTGAGATATACATGAATGTTTCCTTTAGTTATAATAAATATTAATATTAAAGGGATGTGCTTATTGGTGAAAGAGATATGTCCCCTAAACCTAGAATAATAAACATGCTTGGTTGGGGACTTATTGCATAAAAACCCCATGAATCAAAATTAAAATTAAATCAGCAATTGCAAAAAGAATACAGGTTTAGTAGCTGTCATTTAAAATTCAAGTATGATCACCGTACGTTTTCAGCACATTGACCGTAATAAAAAAGGAAAATTGAACCCGGAGAATAATTCAGCCCCTTCAGAAAGACAGCCATAAATCTTTTAATCATTGTTAGTACAAAACCAAACCAAACCAGTCAGTAGAATCTATTACAAAGTTACCACAGTCAATCGCCGACTTTTTACTTTCCCCCTCTGCTTAACCGTCGATCAGTAAAAAAAAATCGAAACGAGTGGCAAACCCCGTAAATAAAACCAGAATCCGAGGGCAGTGCCCATTGGATTCGATTATAATAATAAACAAAAAAAAATTCACACAAGATCCCAACTTTGCCATCTAGAGAATTCCCAATTACCCCCTTCCTCAGGAGCGAAGACTCGGCTCAGAAATATAAAAATATAAAAAAAATAACACACTCGTTGATTATTTCAGATCACACCTCTTCTCAGAGGCATTTTGTCAAACAGTTGAAGAAATCTCTGAAGAAGATAAATTTGTAGAGAGAGAAAGTACTAATTGTATCACGGCGGCGGCAATGGCGGAAGGAGAGAGCGTGAAGCTGTTCGTAGGACAAGTGCCGAAGCTCATGACGGAGTCGCAGCTTCTCGCAATGTTCAGAGAATTCGCTCTCGTCGACGAAGTCAACATTATCAAAGACAAGGCCACGCGCGCTTCCCGAGGTTTTTAATTTCTTCAACGGATCACACAATGTGCGATTTCCACGATTTTCACACAGTTTGAAATCCCTAATTTTTGGAGGGTGGGTCTTTTTTTTTTTTTTTTTTTTTTTTTGAATTTTAATTTTCAGGATGCTGTTTCGTGATATGCCCGTCGAGAGAGGAAGCAGACAAGACAATAAATGCGTGTCATAACAAGAAGACGCTGCCCGGGGTGAGTGCTGTATTTGTGTTAATTTGAAGTTTGTAAATTAGGCAAAATGTGTATTGACTGTGGTTGGAGGTGACAGTGTTTGTTTAGCTTGATTTAGTGTTGGACAAAAGGCCACCCAAAAGTAAAAATGAATTATCTGATCTGGCAAATTAACTTTCCTTAAATGAATGAATAGTTCTACTTCACTAGTACTTTGATTTGCTTACTCGACAATTTCTCGCATTTATGGTTTTATTAATTAAATGTTATGGAAAGATACACGTCGTAGATTATGGTACTATTTCATCGATGCTACATTGGATTTCTGTTTGAAATCCCTGTAACTTGTTAGGCTCTTCAATGCAGTAAAGTTGCCAAATTTGAGAAATCGATTTGGATTGTGAGTGTGCGGTATAACTTATTAAAATGACGTACATCTCACTTTTGAGTAACCGGTTAAAATTTTCGTGTTCATCTTACTTTTCAACAGAAGAGGTGGGTATACGTATATTTATAAATTTAGTCATATCCTCCATCATTTTTCTGAGCCCACATTTTCTTGCTGTAATTTTGCTATCCAGGGTAAGCACATTAACTGTTTGAATAAATCTGAATATACCCTATTGAACGGTTTATTATTCAACCCGGATATATCTATATCTGTTTTTCGTTTTTTATAGCTATGTTTTGTTCCTTTTTTCTCGTTTTGATATAAAGGAAAGATGTTCTTTGTGTCTAATTCAGGCATCCAGTCCGCTGCAAGTGAAGTATGCTGATGGCGAGTTGGAAAGGCTAGGTGTAAATATAATCTTCATTTTTTTTTTTTGTCAAATGTTCGTATTTATTCGTCATATGTGATTGGTTCGTATATGATGCTGCTAGTTCCCTCAATTGAATCCTTTTTCCTTTTTTCTCTTATCGTGGTTCTTTCATATATTAATAGTGATTTTTGGGATTTTTGGTTCCAATGTATTCTTTATTTCCGAACGAAAATTTCAGAGCACAAGCTGTTTGTTGGCATGCTACCAAAAAATGTATCTGATGATGAGGTGTCTACTCTATTTTCGGACTACGGAACAATAAGAGACTTGCAAATACTCAGAGGTTCCCAATTAACTAGCAAAGGTGAATGTTATTTTTTTTTTTTTTTTTTTTTTTTGAGATTTATTTTGAGTAATACGTTAATATAATGAAATATGTGGTTATCCACTTTGGTTTTAATTTAACGAATAGCTTGATTGTTGCAGGTTGTGCTTTTCTAAAATTTGAGACGAAAGAGCAAGCACTTGAAGCAATAGAAGCCCTCAACGGAAAGCATAAAATGGAGGTGTGTGTCACTTTACCAGTTTATGCTTATGAACACGTGTAAACTATTTTAGACTTTATTTCTCCTGAAAATTTTATTTGATATAAGATAAAGTCTAATATATAATTTTAATGAAAGTATTCTAATTTATTCTTTATAGCTAAGCCAATTAAACATTCGTCAAAATTGATTGTTAATTGACAGGGTTCAACTATTCCTTTGGTGGTGAAATGGGCCGATACAGAAAAGGAAAGACAGGCTCGAAAAGCTCAAAAAGTTCTCTCACAGACGTCCAATATACAAACCGCCGATTCCATGCAGCAGCATCCACCTATGTACGGTGCACTGCAAATGGGCTACATGCCTGCATATAATGGATACGGTTATCAGGTTTGTGTTTCTTCTTCTTACTTAACCGACTACTTTTCTCCTTTAATATTATTAATTTTATCGTTGCCTTTTTGTAGGCACAGGGGACTTACGGACTGATGCACTACCGGATACCACAATTGCAGAACCAACATGCCTTTGCCAATTTGGTTCCACCTTTAAACAACCAGGGAAGTGGCGGCGCTGTACGTGGAGTAACGCCCGATCTTTCAACCGGATTGGCGGCAAGAAATTATCCAACGAGTTACAATTTAGGATCTGCTTATCCAGCGGTTCAATATCCCGTCGCAACATATCCTGGTGGAGGAATTATCACTAATCGCCAATTGGGAACTTCTTCTGCAGCATCCTCAAGTGTCAGTACCAGTTCTGGGGGTCAGACCGAAGGTCCTTGGACATTTATTATTTTTTTCCCTAGTTTTTTATATTTTATTTTATTTTTATTTTTAAATTATTATTGTTATCCCCTTTTTGTAAATATACACATTTGTTGGATAACAGGTCCACCTGGAGCGAATTTGTTCATTTACCACATTCCTCAAGAATTTGGTGATGACGAGCTTGCAAATGCCTTCCAGCGTTTTGGTAGGGTATTGAGTGCCAAGGTTTTTGTCGACAAAGCAACTGGTGTCAGCAAATGTTTCGGTATGAACTTTCTAAGTTTGCTATAATCTAATGCAAGCACCACTGTTTATCTTTTTTTTTATTTTTATTTTGCTCTTTGTCTAATTAGTTTGCTGTAATATAATGTAGGATTTGTGAGTTACGAATCACCGGCCGCTGCACAGAGTGCAATTAACACGATGAACGGCTTTCAGTTAGGTGGTAAAAAGTTGAAGGTTCAACTTAAAAGGGAAAACAAGCAAAGCAAACCTTATTAACTTTAGGTTAAGCTATGGATGGGAGCTAAATTATACGAAGCACGAAAACCTAACACGAGATCTTAAATGGGGGAAGGTTGTTGGGTGTGGACACAATTGTCATGCCCAATATCCATCCTCGTGGGATCAAGTCCCGTAAACATGTTTATTCTTCATTGAATTTGTGTCATTGTACTTGTAGTTTGTAAAATTGTTACCAATTAGAAAATTGATTTATTTATTGATTTATTTTTATTCAGATGAAGAATAATTGTTGTGTGAATTTCATGAAAAAAAATTGACAGGATTTGTTATGGAACACTTAACTTTCTGTGTGATCTTTTTTTTTAGCTTACCTAAATGCTGGCTTCCTGGAGTTTATATAAGCCTTGCCGTCATCTATATAAAAGAAGTCGGTTTCTATGATGGTGGTTATAGTAACGGTTATTTTTTCTAATTATCGTGTTCCTTATTGTTATGTATTTTCCAGAATCTTCAGAGACTAATGTGAATAATGTTTTCCTTAGTGTGCCCCATCCCGTTGACATGATTTTAGGTATATTTTTTTTATTCATTGACTTATGGTAAAACTAGTATTTTATCACGAGTAATTTATTCCTGTTATATTTGGTTTCAGGTTATCGAAGGTTATTCTGGTGTTTCTCGCGGTGGCTTGATATATTTACAACCACCGCTGGATATTACTGAAAATGAATGCACTTGTTCTTCCCCCTTTAGTATCTGGTAAGCAAAGGTATATGCTACTTGGATCAATCTATTTGTCATTTTTTTTTTCTCTCTCTAAAAAATCTGAACCTGTTTGAAAGAATATTGTTGATTGGGTATGTTCGTATCAGGCTCAAAGTGTTTTTGAGAGAATTGATGAATTGGTCTCGGAGATGTGCAAAATATCGTTATATTCTCTTAGCTGGCAGCTTAGCATAATCTAATGAGGGAAAACTTAATTCACATTCTTTGACTTTGTAGGCAGAGAAACATTAAAAATAAATAAAAATGAAACATTGGTTTTACCTCGAGCAAGAATCATCCCGAGTAATTTATGAATTTAGTCCGAGTATTATATTAACTGGAAGGGGTTTGATCTGTGGTATTAAATGGAAGGTGTGTGAAAGAGATAAGAGGAAGAAGTAGTAGGCATATATATATTCCTTTATGGTTTGACACTTGACACCCCGTAAAAAAAACATCTCGTTAGTAGTGAGGTGCCGGACACTATAAGGATATAAAGAGACTTAATTATTTGAAACGTTCGTATCTGCTAAAGTCACAATTTGTGGGTAGATAAACTTTTCTATTTGCTGTTATGAAAAAATCCTGCTTATTTGCAACTGGTCCGGGATTGGATTTACATGGCCATTTTCTTCTTAACTTCCTTGTATATATTATACTGTCAAAGACTCGAAGTTGTGTTATCCACTGGAAGTGTATTGTTCGAAAATCATGTATTTAGTGTTGCTTATGAGATTGCATATATCCACCCCTCCTCACAATTCGAAATACATACTACACACATAAATATATTGGAGCGACGTTTTTAGGTATATGTCTGACATACTGTAAATGCATGATGAATGTATAGTTAGCATACTTTTACAAAAACTTGTAAAGATTTCCAAAATTGACGCGATTTTAGTTAGTGGAAGCAGTGGCGGAAGCGGAACGGAACCAGCATAAGGCCAGAGGGGAGAGGGGGCCACGTTCTCCCAACATTCTCGAATCCCTATTTTTTTATGTAAAAAAAATCATGTATAATTAGCATTATCGGCCCCCCTCATGAAAGTTTTTGTGCATTTAGCCCCCTCGAACTTAAAATCCTGACTCCGCGAATGAGTAGAAGATGGAGTAATAAGTTCCGAAGTGATAAAGCTGAGGCTGTTGCACTTTATGATCCAATTATTTCATAATTTCTCCCTTGCACATAAAATTCTCTTTTTCTTCATTTATTTATTTATTATTAATTATTTTTTATTTTTTCTATTTATTTATTTATTTATTTATGTGTGCGTAAGTTATTGAATTTTATCTTATTTTGGCTACTCATTCACAAATACTAAAATTAATTGATACTTATTATTCATAGAATATTTTATTAGTTCATTTTTTGCGTATTATTTTATTAAATAAGGGCTTGCATTTTTTTAGTTTATTTCTGTGAATTTTTAGTAATTTTTTTTGAAAAAATAGCAGAAAAATCGAAATTAAAACACAATTTTGTTCAATATCAGATTTTTTTGGAAACAGTATCGGTAGACTTCAGAATATTTTTTTTATCCACGTTAGTGTATATAGTATTACATTCAGCCAAACGAATCCAACTTGGATAAGTAAATAACTTATTTGTCAAAAAATAAATGGTCAATTACAACCACCCCTGAGGTAATGGTAAGTTACCAAAAAAACTCTTCATACTTGGGTAATTATAACTATCCCGATAATTATAAATTTTCTTACACGTTCACTTTTATGGTGTCAAATTGAACATAATCTTCTAGATTCAGCGGAAAGTTGTCTAGTTTGTACTCGTTTTGTACGAAAATGTAGTTTTTGATGCACAACAATCTGATATTTACAAGTCAAAAAACACATCTTACGATCACCTTGCTTAAAAATGTGGAGCTCGAATAAAATAAAACAGGTAAAAAATTGAGAACATTTCATATAATTAAAAATATTTCACAAAATTTAACATTGCAAGGATGTGTACGTGTAAGAAGATTTATAGTTGAAGGTGTGATTATAATTACTCACATAAGTGGAATTTTTTTTTAGTAATTTAACATTACTTAAGGGCGGCCGTCAATTTAAATAAATAAATTAATTAAATGAGAAACTGAAAAAAAAAGAAAAAGAAAAAAGAATAAATTGAAATATCCCCTTTCTTTTTTATCAGCTTCCGAAAGTTAGGGCATTAGACAAGTAAAGGTTTGGGAAAAGTGTGAAATGAAGGCATCAGAAACTCCGATGAAACACCAGGACGCTGAAATACTACATGTAAAGAGAGAAGGAGGAGCTCAGAAACCCTTGTTCAGACCAGCCAAAGACGACACCAAACCACTTCTCCAAGACCCTGTAATAATCACCAACCACCCCACATTATTTGGGTTCAATTTTTATTTTTTATTTTTTTAAATATTATTTTTTTGGTGTTTAATTGGTTTGTAGATATTGAGATCCGACCCGATCGAGACAGAGGAAGCTGTACTGCGGTTGCCTCCTTGCATTATATCGAGACCCCGACGAGTAATAGGTGATTCGAAAATTTTCAATTGAATTCCAGTAATTATTTTGTGGGTTGGGATTATTAGAAAGATGCTATTTATTATGTATTAACAACACTCATCTGAATTTTGGTGCATTGTTTGGCGAAATGAGAAAATAGCCATGTGTTTGTTTGTCACTCGGCAACTCATTTTCCAATGAAAATAAGTGAGTGCATTTGTTTTGAATCCTTTATGATTGGATAGTCTGAAGTAATGTTGTCGATTCATAAAGTCGTCGAACGATCCATGTATGTATAATTTGGTCGGTTTATATTTGCGATCGGCCGGCACCTGCAAGTCCAACCCATTTATATACTACTATGCACCTTCTGAATCTGTATAAGGTTCAATGACCATTAAAGACAAATGGCGTGTATGTTCCCTTTTTAAAGTAATTTTTTGAATTCTATACTCTTCGTAGAAATGAATTTATGGTTTATCCAATTTTATGTTGAAATAACTTATTTTTCTCTATCAAATTTCAAACAATTATACACTAATCATACTTTTTTTCATTTTCAAACCTACGATATACACATTTACTCCACCAACCCATTTCTTTCTCCTCTATCGTCAGTATTTACCAATTACCACAATACTAGCAGGAGCAGCCACCGCCAGCAGCCGCAAACTGCATACTCTTGCATGTTTTTTTTCTTTTCTTATTTGTTATTACAATATAAGCTAATAGCATTTAATTCCGTATGAGTGCTCGATTATTATAGATTGCCTGGGTGTATCTTTAGACAGTGGTTTGCGTGTTTTGAAGGAGGATGTAGACGTACTTGACATGATCAATGTATATGAAGGACTCGATGTTATTTGCATGTATATAGTAAAAGAAAGGCCATACGATGATGGATATATGGAGCCAACTATCCATTGTCAAAATCAGAGTGATATTCATAAATGTATTGCTGAGCCAGGTGTACAAGAAGACACTCAAGAACATAACCAGACAAATTGTGATCAAGTTGAACATAATGAGCGATAAAGTGAAGAAGAATTTGAAGAAGACGAAGATAAACCACCATTTGTACACAGTAGTGTCCCTAGCTGGTATGACGAGGGTTTAGAGGTGCCAAATGATGATATATTTTGGAATGAAAGGGTGGCGCTTGCAACTAGGGGTCCTGATTTGTATGTAGAAGATTTGGTGGTCTGAATCTGGGGATCCTGAACATGCCGAAGAATTGAAGAGCCAAAGTGGTTCTGAATATGAAAAGTCCGATGAATTTAGGTATATTGGGAAAACAGGGTCCTCTATTGCGTGTCCAAAGTGTATGTGGTGTTGCAATCCGAACGTCAAGCGGTAATCCCCCGTGCGGAGTATAATTCTTCTTTCCAACCTACAAAACCGAGGCAAGCACTAGGTGACTCGCCGGGGTTTGCCCGGCGATTAACCTCTGACGATCAAGTTAGCGGGAATTTTCTCCGTACAGAAGAAAGCTCTCTAGATTATGAAGGAAATAACATCTACCTCAAATGAATAGTGAACTTTGGTATTTATACTTTATAGTTGTCTCGTACAGGCTTCTCACTTGAGGGGTTTCATTTGGACTTTTGATTCCAATAAACCATATACAATTAAATTTAGGGAAAATGAGGGATAACTCCCTCATCAGGTAAAATAATAGAGTGTGAACCCAATTTATAATTGACACTTTATAAGCAAACTCATATAATATTTTCTGAATTGTGTGACCCCCTAGTCTTATGTTAATGCCCATTATGCCCTTTATGTCCATATTTTTCTCCTTTCTCTCTCTTCTCCTTATTTCTCTCTTATCCGTCATTTTATATTCTCCATTCATTTCTCTCTGTTCCTTTTTTTCCTCACTTTGACGTGTTTTTTGTTTTATTTTTCTTCTCCCTATCTCCTCTCTCCTCTCTCATCTCTCATCCCTCTCTTCTGCCATTTTCTCTCTTCTCGTCACTTTCTGATTCTTTTTTTTTCTCTGTATTTTTCTCCATTTCTTCCCACTACTTTGCCTTTTCTTCTACATCTCATTTTTTGGCCGTTGAAATCAATCTATTTTCTTCTCTATAAAATATCGTGTTTTCACCGGAGATGAGATTTATTATCGTCAATATTCCATTTTACAACACCATAGTTTCTTCAATCGAATAATAATATAGTGAATTAAAGAAAAAAATATAGTTAACTACCAATGTTTTATAGTTGACATCGGAACAATTATAGTTGACTATCTAATTTTATAGT